TGTCTGCCACATGCTCAGAATTATCACATTACATTTGTTTTGTCAAAATATTTGATGGCTGCTAAAGCTTTTTTTTAGAAAACAAACATTTTACGTGTAGTAAAATGTGGGTTAATCCACAGCCAAAAACCGTCCGAGCAAAGGATTACTCCGACCGTTTCTTCTTTATTTGCTCTATTCTTTTCTTGAATAAGTGAAATGCAGTAGTTTGGAGGGTTTGCAGGTTTAAGTGAACATCAGGGTCCGGCGGGGGCTGAGAGTTGCTGCTGGGATTTGGTGACAGGAGGAAAAATACCACATAATGCTCGTGTTAATCCTTTAATCCGTGTGTTTTAGTAGCCTAAAAATAACATCTCGCCAAGTTTTGCTTGTCACCTATCGCTCAGTGCCTCCTCCTTATGACCTCCAGAACGATGAGCCATGCAAGTTATTCCTTTAAAACGTTTCAAAAATTGATTTTATTCACAATAAGAGGTCAAAAGGTTCCCTGAATGAAAAGTTTATACTTTAAAATGTAAGATAGCTTCCAACAGCAGATATCAAATAACTAGTTTAACCCTTTAAAGCCTGATCCAAGAAAAAAACAAAACAGAAAATTACTTTTTTTTTTGTTTGAATTCCTTATTTGGCCTTTTAACAAAATATGTAAAAAGAAAAAACAGAGATACATTTTTTATATTAATAATTTATTACTATGCGATAACTCCAGATTATTTTTGTGTATCTTCTGCCCCCTGTTATCAGGTGTATCTGATTGTGTACAATAGGATTTTGAGCAAAGTTTTTACCATTAAATTATGCAAAAGGAGTCAGACGCAAAACATTTCAGAAACCGTATGAGTCAGATATGATACATTTGGCATTACGGGGTTAGCAAATGACACCAGTCGCTTTAATTTAAAATGATGGTGTGGGAAGAAGAAAAATGGAAAGACAAAAAGATGGCAGCAGGAGGAGGGCGAGCAGAACTGGGGGGGGGGGGGGGGGGGAAGAGAGCCAAAGCTAGACCCCAGAAAACCAGCAAGACCCCATTTATTCTATTTATTCTGCAACTGACCTCACAGAGGGGTTTGAAATGAGTGGGAATTTGGTGTTAGCCAGAAACCAAAAGTAGCTAGCCCTGAAAAAGGAGCCAGGAAGGAACGAGGAAGGAGGCAGGAAGGAAGGAAGGAAGGAGGCAAGAAGGAGGCAGGAAGGAGATGAGAAGAAAGAAGGAAGGAATAGGGAAGGCAGGAAGGAGGGAAGCTGTTCTTTACCAAAATGGTAAAAACTTTATTTTCCAAACCGTCCTACCCCACGGAGCTGAGCGCACCACCCAAACTGGCCAAAAACTGACCCGAACCAACCCAAAACTGACCTAAACCGGTCCAAAACTGGTCCAAAGCCTACCTAAACTGACCCAAATCAGTCCAAAATAGGCCAAAAGATAACATGGAGGGAAGTTTTATATTTTGTATATTTACATTTTTCAGATTTTTAAAATATAAGTTATATCAAATTAACTTAATTACTAACTTAGCTTATTTATTTTTATTTAATATTTATATTTGATTCTTCTATTTTTCGTTTTTTTAAAATTAACATTACGTTAACTTGAAACTAACTTAGCTTATTTATTTTTATTTTTTAAAATATTTTTCAGATTTTTAAAAAAATCTTAATTCACATTACATTGCATATACATACAACTAACTTAGCTTTTTTTATTTGATTTAATTTAGATATTTTACATATTTTTTTCAAAGTTGGAAATTTACTTTGGGTGTTGAGTCGAATATTTGATCAAATTTAAGTTCGTAATTGGCGAGAAATTAATATGTTTAGGTATGGTAACAGAGGTTCTGCTGTATTCTTGTATTTCATATTTACACACAGGTTAAAAATAGACGAAATAACTTAACGTTAATGAGATGATTCAACTATTAACTGCGTTTCTGTCGGAGGAGACTTGCCAGAATGTTTCTGCTGTGATTTGATTTATCGTTTTAACGCTCACACACACAGAAACGCCACAGCTGAGTCACATCCAGTAATTAGCCCCTCCGTTAAATCTGGAGGAGGAGGAGGAAGATCCTCTTCCTCCTCCCCAGAACTGCGTCACATAACTCCGTGTTCTGTTATTAATTCTCCTATTTTCATCACGTTTGGCTGCATGTGCCACATCAGTCCTGCATGAACACACAGATTTAATTACTCAGTAATAATATTCACCACGTCTAACCTCGGATATAAATAGGAAGCCTGACACACTGTGTGTGTGTGTGTGTGTGTGTGTGTGTTGTGCTGTTCGTAGCAATCAGAGCAAAACTGCTGTTGGTGTCTCAGGGTCACATGATCCAGGCAGCCAATCACAGGAGGGCCTCGCATGATTGGATTTCGCTCTGTTAGCGATAAAGCTGGAGGCAAAGGGCCGGGATGCTGGTCCCAGATGGAGGCCGGACGCTGAGGACCCACAGATCTACGCACAAAAACTGTACATTTATGTAGCAACACTCCCCACAACAGTCAGGCAGAGAGAAAAAGGGAATTATCCCAAATATTCAAGATTTTCCATTAACGAATTGCAAAAATCCTCAATTGCTTTTCCTGCTAGAGCTCAAACGAGACTTCAAAATAAAAGTGCCTTCTCTAAACTTCAAAACAAAAGCATATCCACTATATACTAAATAATACAATATAAAAAAAGTACAAATTACATAAATTCCAATCAGACAAAATAACAAAATATAGACTTATAATGTTTGAACATGATGTAAACCACGGTATAAAGCAATAATTAGACAGAGCTGGTCTCTTTTAAGAAGCTGGGGCCTTCAGCTGGGTCTCTGAGCTCCATCGTCCCGCCATCTTATCTTTTGGCATATTTTGGACTGATTTGGGTCAGTTTGGGTAGACTTTGGACCAGTTTTGGACCGGTTCAGCCCCCTTTTGGACTGGTTTGGGTTGGTTGGGGTTAGTTTTGGTCAGTTCTTTACCAGTTTAGGTCAGTTTCGGGCTGGATTGGCTCCATTTGGATCGGTTTGGGTCCCTTTGGGGCTGATTTGGGTCAGTTTGGGTAGGCTTTGGACCAGTTTTGGACCGGTTTAGCCCCCTTTCGGACCAGTTTGGGTTCTTTTGTTTTGCTGGTTAACATGGAGGATACAGGGAAACATGTGGCCTGAAGTCAGTGGAAGAAACTCCACTCCTGGACTCAGAGCTTCTTAGACACTGTTAGCCTGAAACCTGAGAATAAACCAGAGTAGATCCAGAGTACATAATCACATTTATTGGTCACAGATTAAGTAAATCAGTGAAGAAGTTATGGGCCAGTTAGCTCTGACATGAGCAGGCCAGCTCCTAATTCATGAAGATTTGACTGAAATGTGATGAAAAAAGTGATAAGAAAGTGTGCGTTTGTCTTTAAAGACCTGTATCTAGAGAGTCCAGATAGTTTTACACCAGAGTTTAGTTCTAAAAGGAATAAGACAATCAGTCATTTTCATGGATTATGTGCTAGCATACAATGCTAAAGTGAGTAACTAGAGCCCATATCTAACAGCACGTTTCCAGAAAGCTGAATTAGATCCATTACTTTCCCTCTGGGGGAGACGGCCAGAGAGGATGAATGAAAGTTCTGAGGGTTGAAGCCATCTCTCGTCATGCGTGTGAGCGGAGGTAATTAGGGCCGAGTTGTGTCGTCACAGAGGTGGTTTCCAACCTGTGCAGCTGGAGGGGAGCAGCTGTCTCTCCATCTGAGGAAACATTTCATCATACAGGCCATCAGGAGGCCCTGAATCCTTTCTGATCAGTCACCCATCAGAGCAGATCGGCCCTTTCTTGAACAGGAGGAAAAAAGGTATTTTTTGCCCAAAATCCTGAGATTAATCTCTAAATCTTTAGCAACCAAACCCTTGGCTTTGCTCACCATAAAGCAAAGCTGCCATTTTAACCAAGGGTAATTTAGTTTATATCACATAAATAATCATTTCTGGCCATTATTATTTTAAAGGAACTATTTTCTGCACTATAAGGCACATAGAATAAAAGCTACAGTTGTGGCTAACAAGTTAGCATCGACCAGATGCAGCTACGCTAAAGAGAACGTCAACAAAACAGTCAGATAATCAGTCAAACTTTATTAACAGAACACAAACCAAAATGGATAAACAGCTGTTTTATTATGTTTCCAGCTAACGTCCTCCATTCAGTAAATAACAGAAACAGTCTGATACGTTACGGTAAATCAGACGTTAGCGCATCACAATATAGGCTACAGCAGCTAGCATAAAGCTACCCAGCTTTTCTCGTAAAAAAAACAAAAACCGGCGGTATTGAAATATTTGAATTACCTGTTGTCGTAGTTAGGATCAGATTCAACGTTTACCTTTAATGTCCACATTTATTTAACAGCCTTCTCTCACTGCGTCCACTTTTAAAATGGGGACTAACACATATGTACATTGTGCAGTACTAAGGATCTCCAGAAGGGGGCGCCTCTTAGCCGGGCGCTACTTCTTCTACTTCCTATACTTCTTCTACGGAAAAAATGGAGTCGGCTGCTTCCCGTAGTTGTTAGTTAGACCTGTTGCGACTCAATCCTGATCCATATATAAGGTGCACTGTCAGTTTTTGTACGTTGTGCAGTACTGCGGATCCTCAGAAGGTGGCGCCTCTTCACCGAACGCTACTTCTTCTACCTCTACTTCTTCTTTTATTTCTATTTCTTATACTTCTTCTACTTTTACTTCTTCTTCTTCTACAAGAGAAATGGAGTCGTCTTCTTCCTGTAGTTGCTACTTAGACCTGTTATGACTCAATCCTGATCCATATATAAGATGCACTGTTGGTTTTTGAGAAAATTGAAGGCTTTTAGGCACCTTATAGTGCAGAAAATACGGTAATTTTTAAAAAATCTCCAGGCAGGTGTGAGGACATCCTCTGTAGGGCATCACTCGGGCACCATTAAGGTTATTTTGAAGCCATCTCGAGGCCTTTGGCGTGCGATTAGCCACAGAGGCTGGATGGAGCCGGGCATGTCTCTGCTCTCAGGCCTGCAGCAGCTGTCTCCGGATAGCTCATCTCATCACACTTCCCTCTCGGAGAAGACGAGGGTGTGAAGTCGTGGGCTGCGAGCGGCGCCGAATGTTCCCTCATTCATCTCAGACTGTGAAGCAGCCACGGCGAACTGGAGCAGAAGAGCTGTGACAGCAGGGGGACGTTCGTGCTCAGTGAACAGGAACATTTTACAAACCACCAATACAGATACCCTCACCTGTAACTGGACACGTCCAGGGTTTGGCTAGCTTAGGCTTTGTAGCTCACCTCGACCAGCAGACACAAAGGACGACTCAGAACTCATTTCTTTCTGTATTTTCACTTCAATTCACTGGATTTACCAGCTTGGTGTCATTTTGATGACTTCCCAAGCTCTAGCCTGTGTCCCAGTAATCAAATTAACCTTAAAACAGCCATATGGGCATTGTAATCCGAGTATATTCTCTCAAATAGCCTGGAAACTTTTATTTTTTGAGGCAGTTTGATGCAGATCTGCAGCCTGTTTTTTCTCAGGCTTAAACCATATTTAAGAAGCAAACTTAAAAATTAGTCATAGAAGACACTGATTATTTCACCACTACTGTAACATATTAAGATATTAAAACACTTGATCAGTGTTTTTTTTTTTATAAGTACACTTAGGTCTAACCATGGACAGAAGATGGGTTTTTAATGCCAACTCTTAACAATTTAGAAATCATTAATCATTATTCCTCTAATGATTCATGTTTCCCCTGTTTATTATGCAAATCTGGGACATAAACATATGACAACAAGTCAGAGTACGTTAGGATTGGTCCTGTATCTCAGTCTCTATCTGCCAATAAAAAAACTTTTTTATTGATTATTTCTTTATCATTTATTTATTTTCCCATCTCTCTTCAAGAAGTCATTTGTTTTCTTGCTATGTGTAATTATCGGCAGTATTTATTAAGGAGTTATCGTAGGTTTTTGGAACCAATTCTAGGAATTACAATATATTCTGATAAGAGTATTTGAAACAACATAACAGTATTTTAACATATGAAGTAGGTCCTGGAACATATCATATTTGTATGTAGAGGTTCTGCTGGACTGCTTAAGCTTTCTGAACAGTAACAGCCTGAATGGAAACATTTTTTTTTAAATCTCAGTCCTTTTCTCTCTCTGGTTTTTCCACATCTGAATCCTGGTTTTCCTTAAAACCCCTTCAGGAGTTTTAAAGTGTTGGAGTTGCAGGTGAATCAGCGTTTAAAAAGATGTCAGTAAGAGTTAGCATTAGAAGCCTTTTACATTTCCTCGTGTGAGTCAGGGCTGTTTTTGTGTTGCAGGTTGTTTCTTAGCTCATATATCTGTGTGTTATTATTGTTATTTCAGCATTGGATTCCCTCTAAGAGGCTGAAAGCCAAAAAACGCAAAACTCAAAGCTCATTTTCACTTTACCAACAGACACTGCTAAAAATAATTTCTCCTCTTTTAATAGCTGTAACTTGGATGAATTTCAAATAAGCATTCTTGAACAAGAGGCTGGAGAAATAGCTGCAGACAAACAGCATATTTAGGAGCTTTAAAGTGAGGCGGCTCCCCTGATGGGCTCGTTTCTCAGGACTGAGTCATCCGCAGCTGCAGGTAGGCTCACGCTGCCCTGCCGTCTTCAGGGATTTGGTCACATGTCTTATCTGATCAGAGGTCCCATCGCCACAAACAGCCAGACCGGCTGTGGACTGCGTGGGCTGGGCGTGAAAACAGATATGGATACTGTCAGTTTGAGCATTCAGATTAGAGATATGTGTCATTTTTCTGTTTTCAAACCAAATCTGTCCTTTAAACACTCATCCAGTTTGTGTTATGGCTTGGAACTATCTATCTATCTATCTATCTATCTATCTATCTATCTATCTATCTA